TTCAGCAAAGGAGCAAAAGCCCAACCCAGGAACCACACAGGGGCACAGTTAGGCGTGGAACAGAAGTCCTTGCACACACACACACTAGAAATTTAAATGGAAATCTCAATACCGAGACCCATATAACTTTCTAGGTTTCCTCAGGTTATGGAGCCTTGATGCCTAGCTTGCCAGCTAAACTTTAGGCATCAAGCCCCTGAACTCGAACCGGACTCTCTGGAGGGTTTGCCAACCGGAATATCCAACATCCTGTTTAAAATTTCTAGCGCATGAGAGGGCTCCCTATGTTCCACACGGACAAGCCACGGGCTGGTCTACTTCTCCTCTCCTCTCTCCCCTCCGCCACATCGATCTCCCCTTCTCCCACGCTCATCATTCTTCCACACGGACCACATCCACATGCAGCCCCGGAATTTCTGGATCGCCTGAATAGGCTGTCCTTGGAGGGGGGAGGCCACCAGAAGGAAGGGGGATGGGGGAAAGACAGCAGTGAAAAGTGAAGAGTGAAAGGGCGCAAAAAAAAGGTTAAAGATAAAAAAAAAACCTGATTCTCACCCCCTTTTCCCTGTTACACCTCATTTTTTATTTTTATTTTCCTCTTAACTTTCTTTCCAAGACTTGAAAGTGAGACTCGGACATTGCCTGCCATTATTATTATTAATTCAAGATCTCACTTCTCAAACTCTCTGACAATTGACGACCCTGCAAAACTTGATAACTGACACTGACTGACACAAACACGGACATTGACACTGACAACCAACAGGGGCCAAGGAATAATGATGCATACGCAGCAGCCTGCCCCGTCCTGCCCTTTCCTGCCCTGTCCTTGCTCGGACCATGGACAGCTGCAAGGAACCAGGTCAAAGGAGGGACACTGAGACCGAGGCGGGGAGAAGAAGGGAAGGGTGATTAGTCGCCCCAGGGGCAGGGCCCGGCCTCCTTGGCAGGAAGTGGCTGCATTTGTGATCCATGTTGGAAATATGGCGATGTTTGTGCTAATTCTGATCACCAGACCATGGGCAAAAGGAAGGAAAAGGAAAAGAGAAAAGAGAAAAGAGAATGGCCAGAAGAGAACGAAAACAACAGAATGGGAGAGGATATTCGAAGAAGAAAAAGAAAGGGGGTTTTCAATTTGCAAGAGGATGCTGAGCCCAGTCGCCCTTGGGTTTCACGAAGATCCCACCTCTCTCTGCTCAGAACTTTGAACATTGCTCTCTTACGTACTCCGTAGCGAATACAGAAATGCACCTCCCTGACATGCCACAGGAGCGGGAGCCGGGGGGCGTCAATTGATCATCCATACTTGCACCTACGATGGCATTATTAGCATCATCACCAAACAAGGTATCAGCACGTCATGGATGACGCTTGATTCAAGGCATGTGTACCTTACATGACTTGGTTGACATAGCTGCCACAATGTTGAAGATGTGCGAGATCAGGGTGCTGTTTCTGTCGGGCTGCTTGTCATGGATCTATCTGTCTATCTATCTATCTATCTCTTTACCCTAGGTACAGTATAGTACATACTTGACACTCTCACATCATTGACATCTTGGCGATATCGACTGCCATGAAAATAAAAAGTTGAATTTTACAATTAAGACAATATGGCTACTAGTATTCGCGATTGGGCTAATAAAATAATTCTAATACTGGTAACAATCCTATCGAGCATGGATAGAAGAAAAACAGTGTAAGCCCAATCACAGTTTCTTCTTCACAATCAACAAAGTACCCGTCTGGATTCCCTCCACAACCTCTTTCCCCTTCTCCACACCAGCCTCGTGTAACAGCCGCTCGATATCCCTTCGAAACACCCTCACTATGTCCCGCTCGGTCCCCACCGCATCCGGATGCGCCGTCCGCCACCGCGTCACTGGGGCTCGCAGTCCCCATCATCTTCTCCAGCGTATCCATATCGACCGTCACAGGCTTTCACCAAGACTTGCCATCGGCATCGTAATCGCCATCGCTGCCATCCCACACCTTGTGGAGGACGCTGGCCTCGTCGAACTCCGTAACGGGCCCCGCAGGCGTCGTCGACAGGCTCCAGGGTAACTCCAGGTCGGCGTAGTGTTTGTTGACGCTCAGGTTCCCCGGCGCCATGTACGGCATCAGATGCTCTTCCTCGAACGCATCGATGACTGTCTGGATGGCAGCGCTGTTGGGCACGCTGGCGCTGACGCGGATGCGCGCGCGCGGAGCTGCCGCCAGGGTTCAGCACCTGCGCAGCCCGCGGCCAGAAGCGACTCATGTCGAACCAATGCGCGGCCGCCGCGGCTGTCAGGAGGTCGACGCTGTTGTCCGCGATGAGCGGAGGGGAGAGCTGGGAGCCGAGGTCTTCGGCGGTGGAGACTTGGAAATTTATGGGTTCGGGCACCGCGGATGATGATGATGATGATGATGATGATGATAATGATGATGATGATGATGATGATGATGGTGATGATGGTGATGATGTGCTGCCGCCGAGAGAACGGGCGGTGCTGATCATCCCTTCTGATTGATCGAGGCCGATGGCATGGGCAAAGTACGGTGCCAGTGCACGCACCGCCGTTCCGGGACCACAGCCGACGTCAACGATCGTGTCGAGCTGCCCGCCAGTGGAGGTGTGATGGTCGATGATGAATTGGAGGAACTCCGGTTCATATCCAAGGCGATTCTGGGCATAAGAGAGGCCTTGTCCATGTGTGTAGGCCCGGAATGTACTCTCCGCCTGGAATTCAGTGCTATTGGACTCTGCGTTGACCATGGTAGCTAGGCATCCACACGGAGCTTTTTACCCTAGTTGTGGGAAAGTATTGCAAGATGGTGTAACTAGTGGCTGTAGCGGTGTCTTCTGCCGTTCAGGGGACACGAAACTTGATGTGATGCCAATAATGGTAGCAAGTTGCAGGTTGGTTCTGAGCAGATACGAAGTATGTATTTATTGCCTAATCGCTCAGCGGGCACAAGTCGTTATACAGCCAATGATCCCTTTTTGCCCCTCAGTTATGATGAGAATAGCTCTTACAACTCTTAAGTAACGGACTCCCCACCCAACATCCAAACTGACCACGATGAGGATGGAGTATTTGTAATGATATCTCCACAACGCACTAGGCTTTTTGGGATTAAATGATATAAATGTGTAAATCCAGGCGGGATAAATCATATGTTTAACTTCATAACTCACCCAGAAGAGACGAATTTGAATTGCGGGCAGCAGGCAGCAGTTGGCTGTCAAATTAGGCACCAAGGGCCCATAATCCATGCTGGGAGGATTGGATTTACTCTCTGGTATTGAGATTTCCGTTTAAATTTCTAGTGTGTGCAAGGACTGATGTTCCGCACTTCCGAATAATGCCTGGTAATTCCACTGATCGTCTAAGGGGGATAGGAGATCAGTGCCCGTGACTAGCGATAATTTTAATACGAGATATCCTATTGCGAACGAAAAAAGAATCTGCCTTTGATAAAGATTGATCATCCCACTTTTTTTGGTGGTGGATATGGTAGATCATTTTTAATCCCCGGATCCGGGATCCTGGTTGATAGAGCAGCACTTCCACCGCCTGCTTACATGTATGTATAGCACATACAAGCCATAGATTCACGGGCCAGAGACGAGCCTTCTTTCTGCCTCATGGGAATCTCTGCGTCTCACTGGACAAGGCATGAATATATTCCATTCCCTTCAATGTTCTGGAAGCAAATGGCTTCGGGTGTCGATTGTGAAAGAGTTCCGAGACACCATCCTTCAGCTGGTGATAGGGGTTCCCGGGCGAGTCATAGTAAGCTCGCATTTTGTGTATGTAATTCTTTATTCCATATGTATTGAGTGCCACAGATAGTGGCTTTCAAAGCTGAAATTGAAAACAAAAACTTGAATTAAAAACAGTGACCCTGAGGAGTCTATTTGCATATCGTGAAAAATGTGGTCATCGTTTTCCTCCCTCAACCACAAAAGCTGGCAAGATCGCATGTGGAGCACAGATAAGCAAAATCCTGACAGAAAGCAAGAGTGGAAAGCGAAGAAAGATGCCGAATAGCCTTTAACCAAGGACATGGGACACCTGCCAGAAAATGAAGAAGAAGAAGAAGCAGAATATCGAGCATGCATCATCGTCAAACAGTGCAATGCAAAACACCAGTAGGAAAACAAACAAAAAAGTGCAACTACCAAGAGCACGGAAATGAAGCCACCCTCGGAAATTTTTGAACAGATATTGCATGTGCGTGTATGCTGGAAAGCAAAGAAAGACTCAAAAGGAGAAGATGGAATGGAAACTGGATGACATGTGTTGAAAATTGAAATTTCATCGCCGGAATGTGAAAGATTTACCCTCAATTTCATTCTTCGATTTTCGCATCCCTTGAGGCGCATCCATCGCTTTGGCATACGGGTTGAATTGTCGTTTTGGTTTTTGGTTGCCGCGAAAAGACCCGTTAGTGTTGTTCCAAATCTCCGCGGTATTTGCATGAAGGACGGACTCAGCGTTGCTGTAGTCAAAGGGTGTGAAGTTGGGAGATTCCTCGGTATCACTATTGTTACCTCGTTGCCGAGGAGTAGATACCCCTTTCTGCTTCTTCTGCTTTTTCTCCTGATGCTTCTGTGCTTTGGTTTCCATAGTACTTGAAACCGACGTTGGACTGGACACTGACACAGAGTCGTCCATTTGTAGGAATTTATTGCGCGGTTCCGTGGTCATTGCTATTGTTCTTGCTATTGGTTCAGGTGTGTCGTCGGTTGCTTCCCTTTCCATTGCTGGGCTGATTTTCCTTTTCCCCGGAGCCCCGAATTGTTTAATTGTGAAAATTTCGTTTGTGGTAGTAGCAGTAGGTCTGGGAATATTCGGCTGTGCTAAAGCGGGTGTCTCTTTAACCAGGTTTTCTGATATTTTCGGCGGTATAGAGGGCAGGGGAAGGGACAGCAGGAATGCCTCCGCTGTGGCTGCCAAAGAGTGCGAAACAGGAATGGGAGGTTGTTGTGGCTGTTTAAGGGTGGCGCCCCAAAATTGGGATATGTCTGCTCTAGCGACTAAAACTGATCGGTGGTCTGGTTCACTCTTAGGCGACAATTTGGGTGTACTCGGGTTGGATTCATCTGTCCTTTGTTTCAGTGGGAAAAGCACATCTCGGAGCTCTGGCCCGGTTGCTCCAATAATCTTTGCTTTCTTGATAACTTGAACTAGTTCGGAAGCTCGGGCTCTGACCAGAGGAGACACAGGGGAGACGGTTCTCAGTAACGAAACGGGGTCTAAAGGCATCGCATGGGCAATTTTGAATAACGATTGTTTGGAAAGAACATATTGGACCCCTTCATCCTCAAACCGCGCAATTTTATCTCGCCACTGGTGGACGGCCCTGAAGACGGCAAACTGCTCTCGACTGAAGAGAGTGGAATTACGAACAAGCATATCACGCCAGCCGATTCTCCCTTCGCCTGTCTCGGCATTATAAACGGGACGCTCATATCGTTGTAAAGCTTCCTGTTTAGACCTTTCAAGGACATAATCTATCAAGTTGTTTGAAGGAGTGGAATGTTCTATAAGGTCATTCCGGATATGGTCATAGATATACAGAAGATAGTGGGTATCGGATCGTGCGTAATCAAACATGCCGGGGAGAAGTGGGCGTAGTCTCCAGTCGGCGATCTGATACTTTTTCTCCGCTTGGAAGTTCACGAATTTTTCCAGAAGGAATTTCAAACTTTTCTTTGGGTAATTCAGGGCCACCGCAGCATGGTATGTGTCAAAGAGACCGACGATGTAAAGACCCAAGTCACGTTGGAGCCATATCACATCCATAGTTGAACCGTGGAGTACTTTCAAGATCTTCGGGTCTGAAAATACCTCATTCAGGACCTGAAGCTCCTCCCGCCATGGCTTCAATGTGTCGACAATCCAATCCTTATCGCGTGTGCTAAGTTGCATGAGACATACAAGACCATGGTATGAATGAGCATCATGATGTTCTAAATCAATAGCTATTTCCGTCACTTCTTTGAGCTCTGCAAGCATTGAGTGGATGCCTTCCAGAGTGTCCACAAAAGTGGCGGTGGTGGTCTCAAAAGGTGCGAATTTACCAGGAACGGAGATAGTATATACCGATGAAGGATAGGTGGAGTTGCGTATTTCGGTTTCGTATGGATGCTTGTAGCTAGGATAAACATGACCTGTAAGTAAACTCGTCTCTAGTGTGAGCAAGGGAAAACTTGAAGTGCACTCACGAGGTGATGGTCCCATTAGGGCTAGTTTCACTCGCGCTGGTCGACAATGGAGTTATCGCATGGGGTTTAGTACGAAGCAGTGGTCTGAAAGGGGTACCATCGTCTTTGTTATTTGGACGAGAATTGAACAAAAGCTGAGGCTTGGGAATCTTGGATGGGCCGAAGTCGTATACGCTGGGGAAATTGGCACTTGCGGTCTTTTTGCCAAGTACGACGTCGCGTTCTGCTTGAGAAGGACTGAGCCTTTTTATGATACCCGTAAATTCGTCCAGACAGGCATCTGCCTTTTCCAACAGCTCATCAATGACATCCACAATCGCTCTCCAGTTTTCTTCCACTCCATCCTCGTTGTGTAGTTCGGGGATCTGCAAGTCAGATCCCGACGTCGCAACCTTCAAAATGGAATTGGATAAATTGAGGAGGCGCACGCTTTCTTCGTCGATGGATGCTGATACATTATTATCAAACGAACGGAGGAAATTCAGGTCTTCGGAGGATATCTGCGTCGCGGATCTGATCGTCTTGACAAGGGCAGTTTTTGCCTCCTCCTCGAACGAAGCAAAGTCCGCCGCGATTTCCATGAACGCGATTACTGCAACCAGAGCATTATTTGAATCGAAAAACAGAAACGAAATCAAAGCAATCAAATGAGAGGACAAACGCGCCGAGGGTTGTAATGATACCAAGGGAATAATCAAGCGGAAAAGTAAATGTTGGATGCTTCTAAAAAAGCTTGCCGTGAAACAAATTGCTTGGTGGAAGAAAGATAATCCGCAGACTGCTTCCAACTTGCTATTAGTGACAATTCATGATATATTCCCCCTGTACTCACCTCTGTTGATCTCAAAAACACAAAGTAACTCTCTCGAACTTTTGCTATATTTTCCTGGTCTCAAATGTCAGCCTCTCTAGCTCCAGAATGCAACAATATAAAAGAGTATGTGCGGGAGTCGATTCAAATTGCCTTCGCAGTCAACCCATGACAAACCAGATTGCTAACGATCCAACCCAAGGAAATACGAAACGTGCTTTCTCAAATGGTACAGCGAAAGTATGAAGCCCCAGCCGACGGTTATCAGACTTTAGCGCCACCAATATCTAACGTAAACCTAGAGTATCTGCGCGGTAATACCGCAGACAAAGACTGTGCCAAGGTCTTCGAAGAATACCAGAAATGTCTGTCGGTATGTCAAACGCCTCTCCCACCCAGCGCCATTTCCTCCTTGGACCATGCCACTGACCAACTCTAGAAAACCCTGAAGGAACGAGGGCTTGATGGCATGGTGAAAGAAGCCCGCAATGGTAGTAAAGAAAGCGACGATGAGTTTCTGAAGAAGGCTTGTATGCAGCAAAGCTACTGAACTCTCGAGTTTGCACAGAATATTGATTCTTGTGATAGAGTCTGTATCATCTATTCTCTCAATGTGCCCAGCGGTTGGCACGCTGATACCACAGGCGACAAAAGCAAGTCATGGACAATAGCCATAAAACCTGATACAAAATCCCGGCAGTTAAAGGACACCGAAGATCGATGCAATGCCAAAAGCGCTCGAGACATGGGATATAGAAAACATAGACAACGACATAGGAGGAAAGGAAGTCATCCTTCAAGAGAGCTAAAAGACGAACCACCGGTACTCCAGAAGAAAACGCGCTTGAGCGCCGTTGGGAAGCAAATAACTTCTTACCTCGATATCTTAATACCACAAGCGACACATGGAATATTCGTCCAAGATGTGCAATGCCTGTTGCAAAATTTCCTTTGCAGCGGGGTTTTCTTCCTCCAGCCCGTAGTGCCGGTAATCGTCGATGATGTCCGATATTCGTCTTTTATCTGTTGGAACGCGTCTGCCTGGTTTTAAGCCTTTGTTATATCTTGATTCCAAGTCTTTGGGCGTGGCGGGGGGAAACCTTTTGTTGAATTCGGTTTCGATCTCCCGCCAAGTTAGGTTCGTGCCGAGCCGGAGGGTTGCGACGAAGATATCCTCTTCAACTGTCCACTTTCCATGCATCTTATTTCCTTGGTGGATTGTATCAGCTAGCGAGGACAAGAGATAGTTGTGAAACTGAAACTGTTATATGTGAGAACGTGGTATGAGAAGAGGTCGTCCTTGTGTGTATGAGTGTATGTACGTGTCAACATGTTTATGTTTGTATTCAAAGAATGCCATTCTCACTGGTTTTCACCTCTGGCGCATGGGAAACAACGACAATATCGCCCTGGTGAATCTTTGCCTTGTGTTCCTTTAACCCATTTGCTGTCTCAGCCTATGTGAAGTGTTGTTTAATAATGGGATAATTGCTTCTACATGTACCTTCTTAGAGCCTTTCATAGATACCATTTTTCTTTGTCGTTTCCCCCTCCCTGACAATGCGAACATTCCTTCGCTCCCCTACTCACCAGCCCCAGCACTCTGAACGTGTAGCATGTCGCTGATGATGACTGGTAGCTCTCCAACCCTTATCGTTAGTAACCAGCGGCAAATTGCAGCTTGCCTACCACATATATCAAATTCAATGACAACATCAACCATGACGCGCTCGGAGAGCAGGGGAAGAGAGAGACGCAGATAACGCTCAACCCAAGCCAACGAGGAGGATTCATATGCTTATCCCGAGGCTCGTTTTGAAGCCAGGAAATCGATTGGTTATCCATCAAACCTATACACAGCAACTAGCAGCAACCCTACTAGTACAGCCATCCGTGGCCTCTCACAGTTGCGTATTGTAGGTTGTTATACGAATATTGCGACAGTAGGAGATCATTCAACCAAGTGTAATTGATATTGTGATATCAAGTGATGCGTTTCAGAGTTCAATGGGCTGCGAAAGACTTCAAACGATTTACTAGTACACATTGATACTATTTCAAACTCATTTTTGCTACATCTTCGAATTGTAATGATTTTATCGAAATAGCCATATTCTAACTGGATACAAACTACCTCCCTTCCATTTACTATTTATTTATTTCTTTTGGGACGGTGCATCAGCGTTTACAGAGCCGCTTCCACTCCCATTATATGTCTTAAGATACTTTACTCTCCTGTTTCCACATTAGCTTAACTGATGTCCTTCCGTCCCTGATACATAGATCATCCATTTTGAACTAGGGAGAACACGTCTGTATGTGAACTACAGGCATGTAGTTTAAAGAAAAACTCTATAATTCTACACCTAAAAATTATTTACTAGTTAATAAGTTAAGTATTAAATAATAATCTAGAACGTTTTAGATAGGACAGACTCCAACCTTAGACATCTTTCCGGCTATAACGAAGGGAGGCATCGAAGGAGGTGGACGAGGAATGGTGACCACCCTAGTTCTTTTCCCATCACCACAATCAAAATCATGACCGATGCCTTCTCCTGTCAAACGGGAATCCATTCGGAATCTTCGGCATGGGCGCCATAACATTGGCCGTCCGGGTTTTCTTCTCCGTCAACCGTGACCAAACTTCTCCTATCCCGACGCGCTGTGCAGGGAGCATGCTATACTGCAAGCTGTACATGTTTCGGCGGTGGATTGGAGGGACAAAGCGACCAGTCACCAGGCAGAGGATGACACTGGGTGAGAGGTAGTGCTTACGGAGGCGGTGGCCGAGCTGGAAATATTGGTCGAACATTTGGCGAAGAGAGAGGGGTATGGACTGTTTCAAAAAGGTAGTTAGACGCAAGGGAAGCAAATTATGGGAGAGATACAAACCTGGAGATGGATATACGAGGTGGAGGTAGAGGGCATTTCATCGGTCTTCGACGCAGAGTTTGGCAAAAGAGCTTCTCGGAGTGAGAAATGAATACCGCCTACCCGAAGAAAGTTTAGCAAAAGGTTGGGAGTACGGATCAAGGGACTGGAGCGTCTCACCTGGTAAACGGCCTGGGTCTTTCACGCGCAGCATCACCGCGATGAGAGCGAAATGGTTCATATATGCAAGGCAAGTATCCAGCGTTTGCCTTGAGGGATATTATAATCATACGGGCAGAAGCCAAAGGTAGGATAAAATACATTGATTGTTGGTAGGGAGGAAAAAGAGAAGAGTGAACTAAATCGTCCCCAAGAGCAGTTGGTCGAGGTCGTAGTCCGCATGAGTCTATCCGGTTAACATGAACATTTCGCTTTTTTGCCGCGGAAAATGTGGGAAGAGGGATATTATGATAGTAAGCTGCCAATTAAAAATCCGGGCGGACGCGATGTAGAACGAATAGATATGAACTGTTAGTATCGACAACAGGTCAGAGAACATGGCCATGGACATGCTTGCACCAGCAAAGCCGGAGCATCCAATCATGTAGATTACATGCCGGAGAAAAGGGCGAAGGCTTGCGAGAGCACCTGGGAAGGGTTAGCAGCATACAAGGGAAAAAAATAAATATTTTATAGTCACTGTTGCAACTTACTAGCCCAATGTTCTATAACCCATAAAAACAAATCACCCATGAAAACAGCAAGTTCATTATTTAGCTTCAAACCTGCAGGCCAGCCCATGAGCCACGATATTGTCCGTTGCAAACCCTCGACCGTCCACCACGTGAGAATCGAGTTGATTTGTGACGCTACCCAGTCGGCGTTATCCATGATGTATGATCCGAGAGCAATCCCAATGATCACATCATTAGCCACTAACCAAAGGCTGTTGTAGAATCTTATGTAATCCGGGTGGCTGTTCGTTACACTTTCCCAGTCGTCCTTCCGTTTGCGCAATGTCAGATATTGGATCGGCCAGTAACAAAATTGTTGCAGCCGTATATCAATCTGCTGAGCTGTAGCTGATATATCTTTCAGTGCAGCCGCGTCTGGGCGAGCACGCCACTCGAGCACACCCAGGACAACCTCCGCCACGACTCGATGGCTGATGAGTACAGCAATAAACCCTTGCGTAATGACCGGGTAAATCCACACTAGAAATATGTATGACAAAGCCATGTATAAAAAGTCCCATGCGGTGCTGGCAGATTCAACCACACGCTCACTGACACTTAGACTGCGTTTGGGTCGCGCTCCAACCAAGCCCACGTTTTTAGCAAGAAGTTTCTCCACTTCGAAAGAACAGTTAACCTGGTTGATAATTGCCGGGAGGATCTGTTCCTTTGGTGAAGGAATATGCCTAACCACAGTATGCAATTTCAGCTTCTCGACAAGTTTTCTGGTTTGCGCTTTTGCCTTAACCTCTGCTTGTTCAAATCGTCCAATACTTCCCCGGTGTTCTCCAAATTAGATGGTTTGTCTTCTAGAATTAAAGAGATAGGTCGTAAGGACATATACTGCATGCGCATCGGATGGGGCCTGTTGAATGTGATGATCTGGATGGAAAGTTTGGTCTCAGGAGGGCAAAAGATCCGGGGCACTTTAGAAGAGGGGTTCCAAGTAATATAAAGATGTGAAGGACTAAATGCCGTTGGTAATTCAGTAGGATTCGTTGAGCCTAAAACATGCATTGCATGTTTCCCGCAAAGGGCCATTATCCGAGAAATGGGATGGGGGCTACTGCGGAACAGGATGCCAGTTCGCAGGGCATTGTCGACATTCCGTGACTAAGGGGAAAACAACTGGTCAGAAACTTGACGCGCATAAAGGAATGACCAGGACGTACTTCAACATGCTCAAATACTGTGAGCACAAAAAGATCAAATTCCGAGTTCCTCCAACCCACGATCACGCCGGGCGATGTGGACTTGGGAATGTCATTTGGCCAAAACACTCGCAGCAAACCATCACTCAGCATCTTATCATTCTCCAGTCCTTAGAACGAACCACGGCGCCGCAGCTGTTCCCGCGCCGATATTCCGTGGCTTACCGCACGCGGATGCTACGGAATTTGTGAGTAGATCGGGCTCTCGTCAATGGAGGGAATGCGCCTAGGGGATTTACCGAGTTGATCTCTCGTGCCACAATGAGATTGATTGGGATAATGAAAAGGAAATAGAAGATGGAAAGGACAGCAAAGCCCTTGGCCGTGCGTGTCTAGAATAAACCGTTTTTCTTTTATGAGCATCTCTATGAATTGATCGAGGAGGATGGAGGCGCACAACTACACCGTGATCCCAGGCAAATATGGCCAGCTCGTACAGCCGGGTAACTAGATCCCACCGCGCGGTGATGTAGCCTGCTACAAATATGCCAAGCGCGAGGACTGAGAAAGGGTGCATTAATTAAAATCTACCGTTCGTGCATGCTTGGGATGAATGTTAAAGAGATGAGGCAATGGACGATAAATAGCCTTTGGTTGGGTCGGTCGCGGGTAATTGCTTTCGGAAACTCGTGAACTCTGAGCAAGATATAGCGGGAACTTGGAAAGACTCAATATTGCAAATTAATTTAAGGGTATACAGGGAAGCGTTGGAGCAGAGAAGATCTTTTGGTTTGTCCGCCAGAGTAAGCACAAAGCTTGAAAGACTTACATATCACGTGACGATACGGTTTGAAAGGGGGGCAAAAGCAGAATATGCTAGAAATTGAATATCAACGACGAAATGCGAGGAAATTATTGTAATTTCATTCTATTTGATTACAGCAACGCGATGCCTCCATAACCCCAATATATGTTGTAGCAAAATTACCCCGATCCTCAAACGCCAGACCCACCCCAAAAGCACCCCAGCCCAAAGAACTAAGACAATCGCAGCGCACGAATTATAGCGCTTTTATACCCTTAAATACCTTATTGTTCCGTAGCTTGTCATCTGCTTGTACCAAATCCTGCATTATCTTCTTCTTTTCCTCCACTGTAAGGTTTTCTTTGCCCGCTGCTTCTATTTCGGCTTTCCATTTTAATAGCATTGCCTTTAACAAAGCGCTCCCTTCCGCGACTTCTTCTGTGGAGTACCCATCTAACGTGGCTGATTGTGGTTGAGCATCGATGGTGCTCGAAGTAAAATCTTCTAACTCCTCTGCTTTTTGGCGTGCCATGTTTACAACCTTCTCAGGGAAGCGCACAAGCTCAGCCACATGGATACCAAAGGACTGATCACAAACACCTGGCTCTACCCTGTACAAAAGGGTAACCTCTCGTTTCTTCTTGTCTGTACTGCTGTTCTGTTTTCCCTCTGTCCCATCATTGATAAAGGCTACAACATGGAGGTTCTTCACAGAATTGGGGTATCGGTCTTGCAGAGCCGTCAGTTCATGGAAATGGGTGGCGAATAATGCAAAGCATCTGATTTCCGTGACAATATGTTCGGATATTGCCCAGGCGAGACCAAAACCGTCATAAGTGCTCGTCCCGCGACCCAGCTCATCAATGATGATCAAGGACTCTGAGGTCGCTGATTTCAATATGTTGGCGGTTTCAAGCATTTCTGCCATGAAGGTTGAGACTCCCTTAAGCTGAGAATCGCTGGCGCCCACGCGAGCAAGGATAGAATCGAAAATGGTAAGTTCAGCTTCAGAACATGGCACAAAACAACCAGTTTGCGCCATGAGGGCAATTACACCTATTTGTCGGATGTATGTGGACTTGCCACCCATATTGGGCCCGGTAATGATGAGGAACGACGATTCGTTGCGTAACAGGGAGACATCGTTCGTAATAAAGGAGATGTCGTCTTGCATTTCCATACATGGATGACGAGCCTCTTTCAAAACTGTATTGCCTGTTCCTCGAGGATGGATTTTGGGTCTTACGTATGCCGTAGGTGCATGAACTGAAACATGAGCGAAACTGACAATCACATCTAGATGCGCTAGAACGCTGGCTAGCTGTTCCAGCAATGGACAGTAGGACGCCGCAACATTTACTACTTCCTGGACTAGACCTGTCTGGGTTCGATTATAGTTTGAAGATAGTTGATCATGTTCTCGCCTGAGAGAGAGCATGGTGGATGTCGTGAAATATACCCCGTTCTTCTGTGTCGAGCACTCTTGATATTCTCGCTTATTTCGAATGCAACTCGCCTCCTGAAAATATAAATTAACATACTGAATTCATCAGAGCTGAGAGCACACGTTAACTTACATTTCGTGTCAGCCTGAAGCACCAGCCATGAACACGGTGATTTTCAAGGAACAGCTTTTTATCCGTATCTTGATTCAGGTCCCTCCCCACTATCTTATGCTCTGTGTCCATATCGTGCTTCAGCCGGTCGAGTTTCTTTTTGATGATCCGGAGACTATCATCGAATTCAGGCTTGATAATGAATTCGTGATTATCCAGCGCATCCAAATCCACTGTAGTCTCAACCATCTCCGCAAGTTTGCTAAAGTTATCTGAAATATTGCGTAATTTGGTGGTATACTCCGTCTCCAGAGGACCTTGATATTGCTCATCCATGACATTTTCAAGCGTGTTGATGAACCCCGGTAATCTGATCACAACTTGATACACCCTGACCACATCCTCGAGGTTCGCCATGTCTCGCTGGAATCGTTTCGCGAGTCGATAAAGATCCGGGATGGATCGTAGATGATCTTCTTGCATAGTTTGCCTAAGCTCCGTATCAACTACAAAAGCTTCCACTAGCTGCTGTCGTTTTTCGATATCCTCATGGTTCATCAGGGGCTGCTTCAACCATTGGGCTAATAATCGACTCCCCACTGGAGTTTTGCAGTGGTTCAACAACCCGTACAGACTCATATTTTTTGCGCCATCTCGTGGACCAGGCATTAAATTTAATGCTCGGAGAGCAGCTGCATCCAACTTCATATACTGCGATAAGTCGTGCTGGTATAGTCGATATTGGCCGAAATTTGTTGCATCAGACATGGCGCCTAGGTACTTGATCAAAGCTGCTGCTGCGCCCATCGCTAATTTCAAGTCTGTTTGAGGTAATATCCCAGCAACTCTTTCATCTCTCAACAACCTCGAAAGATCCTGTTCGATATCTTTTGTCCCAAAATCCGCCATAGGACGCTGCGAAATTGCGATCCCGCAATTATCTAAAATCGATCGCAACTTCCCCAGCTCAACATCTTTCTTTTGCGATTCCATCATAATCAAACACTCTTTGACACCCAATTGAATAACTAGGGACTCGAAGTTGGAATAGAGGTCGTTATCGACGAACTCACCAACGCCAAGTTCTCGTACGCTTGCATCAGCAAAACACACACCAACCTGTCTTGCCTCAGATGCTTTAGCAGATATTTTGACTGCTAGGATAATGGGCGCGGAATCCATAGCCGGGCCGCTTGCTCCCAATTCTTCCTCAACGTCTTGCAGGTTACCGGGGCTCGCTTGCTTTGCTAGTTTCCAGTTAGTCTTTCCGCCACCCTGCGACACCCATATCTCCACTCTCATGTTTAATCGAAAAAGAGATTCACGTAGAAAGTTCCGAAAAACGGTCGTGGTCATGGTTACAGAAGGTAAGCCACTTGAATCACTGCGCCCGAGGGATTTGAGGACAGACGTGGTTTTGTAGACTGTCCGAGCGATGTACTCAGCATCGGGGCCATGAGCAGTGAAAAAATCGCCGCGATCGAAGATGCGGATTGTAGAGGAGTCGTCTTTGGCTGGAAGCGATCGAAAGAATCGTATGAACCCCCCCTCGTCATCCACCTAATAGATATCGCAGCGTTAGATTGCAGTTTGCCAGGGTCCATTAAAGATAATCAAGATATGAGATGAGAATTGAGGGAATTATATTACCTTCAGTTCCTGTCGTGAAGCCATTATAGCATCAATATACAGATATTCGTTGCTGCCTATGGATAGATTGAGGTCAATATACAAGGGTTATTGCATTGTGAGCAGAGACCGTCTCTCTTGGAAATATTGTTGCACGTAGTTAACATGTGGGTACACGTTCATATCTTGACGCGCGCAACTTAATCGATCCGCGACTGCCCATCACATGACCACGCGATTACTGAAGAAGATTTTGTTGCAGCTTTGGATTGGTTCATCCCCTCTGCTACCAGCATGGCGCTGGTGGTGATGAAGCTCTTTTGCCCCAGTGGCCTCACAGGCTATGAGGCCCGTTGTTAGCGCGAAAAATTCCGCACCAAAGGTGTGCCAACATGCTACAGGTTCGAATCAGAGATTATCCATATAAATAGTCATTCTTACAGTGTATGTGGCATTCTCGCGTTGAGCGCGTTTTTGATCATCATATCGAATACATAGATAGAATCAATATAATATTAATGTCTTGTATAGGCACCTTCTACCTCTATAACTGCCTGACAGTGAGCCAGGCATCTCTGCAATAAGCTCCTGTAGCTGCTCCCTTGTTATTAAGTCCCAGGCATTTCTAACCATCTCTTGTGAATTATAAGAAAGATTCTCCTCATCCCCATGTTTCTCCTGTATCCACTGTTTCGCAAGATTCCATACAGCTTCCAGGAGAATATGATGATCAATCTATGGAGGTGATTATACTGAATATTATAGTCATATTATAACCAACCTTATTGATTGTTCCTCAATCCTCTTCTCAGAATAGACAGGGTTCCTTTGTAATGCCATTAAAATATTCTCAGAACATCCACCCTCTTTTTCTCTGAATCTTATTCATTAAACAGATAGAATTCAGTGTTTCTTCTGCCTTGTGAGTCACCCAGGTTCTTGGATAGCAGCCAGATTTAATTCAGGTCTCATCAGTTCAAAGAATGACCACTGCGACGAGTTAGCGCCAGTCACGTAACCATATGCGCCTATGAAAGTTCTCCTTGCAGTTCCATCCCCACAATCGCGTAACCAGCGTTCTTCCACACCGCGCTCTACCAGAGCACGATCTCTGATATTCTTCCATTCCAATCCTTCTTCAATAAGAACCCCCTTGTACGACCTTTCTGATTCCTTTTCCTTTCTTTCCTTAGTCGATTCGTAATCTGTAATTAGGATAGTGCTTAGTCCGTTAAGTTGGCAGTACGCCTGTTGCAGATAGCATAGGCCGTACGAACCGTGCAAGCGGTACAAACGGGGCGATCCGCAACCAAGGTAGTGCCTGGTTAGCCGGTCGTACGCCCGTTACAACCACTGCTCAAAAATCCAATATTGATGATCCAATGCCCACTGAAGTCAAACAGCTTGAACTCATATGAATAGAGGAGGCTTGTGTAGAGCTATTCTATGAGAATAATCTCTTCTCTGTAATCCTCACCTCAGGGCATTTCTCATTGATCTCAAGATGAAGAACAACAAGCAGCATATCTTTTAGAAGTGGCTACTTCGAGTTCACAGATGTATTGAACTCCTTAATATAGTATTTCAAGATGATTGAATATTCTCTCATAGAATCATCTAGGACTGAAGAAGAAGAATATCTCAATGTTGATCATGAGTTAATTGCTTTGTAGAAGGTGTAATAGGAGCTTCTGGGGATGCAGAAGCTTCAAGAGCAGTAAGTAAATCCATATTGACAATAGAATGAGTATAGACATCCCATCCATCATATGGGGATATTTGAGGACGCGCCCCGGGCCCCCCCGGCGCCCCCCCCCCTTCCTCCCCGCCAGAATATGGTCAGCAGGGAACTAAAATATCAGGGTGGCACTAATGGAATTAAAGGGAGTATATCAGCGTATTAATGTAGTCCTTTGTGGGTTGGACAATGATAAGTCACTCTGGGTTTTCGGACAAGGAACGGTTAAGGGTCTAGTTCCGGCGATTTTTTAACCGATACATGAGAGCCTCGGCTTCGTAGGACTAGCGTCCCTCATATACAGCCGCTCATGTGTCCAACAGATTTGTTAGTTTGACACTTAACAAAAATTAAACTTCTGCCAAAGACTGCCGGTCAGCAACTTTGATCTACTCAGTCTGTCCATGAATATTACTAGTATCGTTTCACCATGCAATGGGAGCGCTTAACTCTCTTCAATTGCATCCAGTTTACTGCGTAGAGAGTACAAATTGCTGAGACCTTATATATTCCCATACTCAGAAGGGAGCACAGAGCGTCCAGCACAGCGTTCTGTCTAGATAACGTAGATGCGAAGAATAACATTCTAGGGCTTTTTTGATTGACGGGTTGAGGTCGAGAGGCCAAAAGCGGAATCAATTACGGAATTCGTATAGTTTTCGTCGGCAGACAAGAGGGTTTCAAACCTTGTCTAGCCCTTCAATGAATGAGACGGAGTTCCGTAACCCTCCAGTCCTCCTTTTCAAGAACAGGGCTGCCCCTTCATCCTCTCTGATAAAACGCAAGAAAAATGCATGCGAAGTCGATCCTCCATTCGGAGTAAACACACTACACAACAACTTCCTAACCTCGCAATGCCTATCGAACCATCATCCGAAGAAGGGCAAACTGCCGGAATCGCCAGCTCCAGCTCTAGTTCGCTGGTGACAACCACAGTGCTGATTATCGGGGCTGGTAAGTGTTAAATCAATGCCAAACATTTCAATGGTCCAAAGATATGGGCGGTACTGATGAAGTAATCCAATAGGGCCTACGGGATTAGCATTGGCCCAAGGTCTGAAGCAGGTAAGTCTCTTTGTCAATCATACCATATCATTCATATTGATTCCCCTTTGTTCGACTCTTTTGATGGCTGTCACATTTTTCCATTCAGCTGCTTGAGTTTTTGATTAATCCTAACCCCAGCGTGCGAAAACACTTCCGAAATAGGCCAATATATCCTGCATTGTGGTCGAGAGGGATGGGCGTCTCGATGCGAGATCGCGGGATTGGAACATGGGCATGCACTGGGGAGAGACAGCATTGAAGTCTCTCGTCACCGGTGAAATATGGAGTCGTCTCCAATCTGTCCAAGTTGACCCTAACCAACCGACAGCTGAAAGTGATGATCTGAAGTTTGTTAATGGCGAGTCTGGAGAACTCATCACTGCCATTCATGCCCAGAAATTCTATCGACTTCGGCGCAGTAAGCTGCGGGCCTTTCTCGCTGAAAAGCTCGATATTCGATATAACAAGTCCTTCGAAAATATTGCCTTCTCCTCGGGTGATAGCCTGGCAGTTGTGCATTTCAATGACGGCTCTTCGATCGCTGCAAAGCTAGTTGTCGGGGCTGACGGTTCTAGGTCAAGCGTGCGACAGCTCTTGCTTGGGACCGATCAGGCTGCCATTCGACGTCTTCCATATTGTGCAACATTTATTCACTCCAAATTCACCCGCGAACAGGCACTGTTCTTGCGCTCATTCCACCCGCTTTACATAGCCGCCATCCATCCTGGTGGCTTGTTCTCGTTCCTTGGAATGCAAGACGCTGCTGATCCAGAGAGACCTGAGACATGGACGTTCTTCTTCTACATATCATGGTACTCCAGCCTGGATGAGCAAGACAAAACGGCAAACTGGACGGATGCCCAGCGCAGCGAACAAGTCAAAGAATTTTCTCGGACGTTCACGGACCCATTCAAGAGCGCATTTGAGTGGGCCAGTGCTGATTGCAAGGTGTGGTATTTCGGCCTGCATGATTTCGACCCGGGAGCGGAGGGACATCGCTGGGGCAACCTTGGTGGCCGCGTCACCCTTGCTGGCGATTCCGCTCACACAATGACTTACCAACGTGGGCAAGGTCTAAACCACTCCTTAACTGATGCGGCTGAATTATGCGAGGCGATCAGACTTCACTTCCAAAAAGTCCACGC